AACATGTGGATGTTTTTCTTGCTGGGGTCACTTGATCCCAGCTGACTTCCTGCCTATGGCAGAGGGGCTGGACTCAATGATCTCATGAAGTCCCTTCCAGCCCCCTAATATCTATGAAATCTATGAAAAGCTCAATATCATCAACAGATGCAGGCACTGCACACTCCCCAACCCCCGTCCCCGAGTGCTAACCCAGGGCGGCGGTATGGCAACACTCCTACCCCTTGAGCAGTGAGAGAGAAAAAGCCTAGGATAGTGCAGGCAGACCTCCCTAATCAGAGGTCCTTGCAGGGTGTGGCCACACACCCCCTCAGTTCATCACTATAGAAGGGAAGTGAGAACTGCTCTAGTGTCCCCCAGCATCTAGCCTGAGCCACTGAGCATTTTAAGAGACAGAGGAAGGGGAACAGGCCATTCTTGGGGGAAGAGGCACAGATCACATGAGGTGAAGAGGAGGCACAGGCCACACATGGGAGGGGGAGCGGGGGACTGTATTCCCTGTGATTTCTGCATCCACAGTGGGGCATGGGGCTGCAGAGGTGCTGTACCAGCTCCAGAGAAGCCACCTCCATGGCCCAGTGGGCAGAACCTGGCATGGGAGGGAGTGCCATGCCGCCATAGCCGCCAAGATGAGGCCTGCCTGGGAGCAGCATCAGTACAACACACCATGCCGCTGCCATTTCCATGATTCACCACCATGGGCACGGGCACTGCACCAGCATATCAGGGCTTCTCAGCATCACAAAGCAGTGGGGGTACAGTCACAGCTGGACCCACATCCTAGTGAGAGAAGGGGGCAGGGGAGCTCTGATTTTCCATGACAAAAACCCAAAGTCAAACACCAAAATTTATAGGTATTTAGAATTTATTTTATTAGAATGACTGAGGCACTTTTAGGCTTCCAAATTGATTTAAAATTGTAAATATATGAATAAAGCACTGAGTTTAACCAATACCTACATATGTATAGTGAAATTTTATTTTAATCACGGAAAAACATTGGGATTTTTAATCAAAGAACTTATGATGTTTAAAACAGAAAAAACCAGGATCTCTGGTCATAAGACTCTATGCTACATCTTGAAATATAACAGTGGTGTCATTTAAGTTACCCAAGGAGAATGGTTAATTTTTTGTACACCTGGTAATCACAGGGTTTTGTTTTTAGGTTGTCTTTTTCTTTACCCTTTTTATTATTATTATTATTATTATTAATTTGGGAGTGGGGAAAGGTGCAAGATTAGGGGTTGCTGATAATTGTTGGCTCTATACTATTCAGTTGTGGCCATTTAAATTATCAAAAACCTGCTTGTCTCCTTATCATGGCAAAGCTCTCAGAAACCTGATGCCCTTTTTATAGGCTCCTCTTTGGCTTCCAATAAAACTAACAGTACCACAATAGTGGAGGCCAAGCTATTGTTATTGCTTTCCAGGACTACTAATTATGTTTCCCTCTCTCATAGTGACAAACCAAAACACATTTGCATGGCAGTTTGGAGGTTTTTCCATTCTGTTACAGATTATTTATTTTCAAAAGTATTTTTTCAAAAACTACAGAATAAGCCACAACACACACTCCTAAAAACAAAATTCACTCCATCCAAACAGACTATCAAATCATTTTCTCCATAAGCAGTATGAAGACTGAGCGCATTATGACACCTCATACATATTTAACAATAGCCTGATAAGCTGTCATTAACATCAAACAGCAATCTAGGTTTGCTACATTAAACATGATTCCTATGTTAAGAGGACAATCATAAACTGCTCCAAGATCGAGACTGTAAGAAATGCCCACCAACTTGGACAAGGTGTAATGAGGCCAGCTTGCACTGACGGAGACATTAGACACATACTGGGTTAAAAAAAGCTTCAATGGGCCATAAGACGAGACATGCCATAAGGCAATCTGTCATGGAGTACTCATATTAATAACTGTTGTGTCAAATCTGAACATTCAAAAGAACAGACAAACCTTCCTTTATGTTGTATGAAGTGTAAGCCTACAAAATTAATAATTCATGAGACAAAAGAAAAATCTCGTATTTGGATATAAATTTTAACAGGACCCTGTCAACCTGTTTCGACCCAAATTTTGATTATCCCACTGTAAAATTGTCAGTCTAGTGAGGGAATGTTCTTCAATGCTTTAAAGCCAATTTAAAAATTCATTAGTGTGAAAGAATTAAATACTCTGTTCATGTGGGATCACCACAGAACACTGCTCTGCTATTTGTTCTACTGTTCCATCTGCAATAGTAGAACAAAAACTAACTAGAATACTTCTTCCTGGGGTGTCCTGTGCTGATAGCATTAATGATGGTGTAAATGCAAGAAACGTTAAATGCAGTGAAAAGAAAAAAAGTAGGGGTACAGAGGATGCAAGTATCAAGGAAAAAATTAACTGAAAAGTAAAAAAGCTTCATTGTTATCGAGTGATTTGTCCAAGTTCCAGAGTCCATTTGCAGAAATCTTCTTGGAAAGCTCTCTCTAAACTAGGGTTGAATACATGCATTGAAATAATCTAGGAGAATTCTTCCAGGTTTGTTCTCCTGGTAGAGAAATTAACCCAGAGCTGTGTGAACAGACATTCATATGAGGCCTGTGCACACATTTCAGCATGAAGGCTCCCTGGGTGCCTGTAGAAGTGTGGGGATGCTGCTCTGATGCACTGTAGTAACAGCGGCTTGGAGTAGACTCAACTGAGACTGCTGGAGCATGCCAATTAGCACGCTCTGGCAGCCTGGGCATCTCGTGTATTCAACGTCCCCAGGCTTCAAAAACAGTGGCGGAGGAGCTTTAAAGCTCGTCAAATGAGCTTGCACCACACCACCATTTTGAAGTGCGGGACGCTGAATACATGACATTCTGTAAGCACTTTAATTAGACTATAAGAGCGACTCTAATTACAATGCCCCATCCCCAGAGCATGTGTAAATATGCCTCCTTAGACTGCCTGGCAGCAGTGCATATAGCAGCCCTGATTGCCTGACCCAGACTGCCCATAGCAAGCCTGCATTTCCTGCACCACAACGTGGGAATTGTGAAGGGAGCATGTTCTGCTTCTTGGTGGAGCTGCAGAATCCAACAAGTGACACACTGTGTCTCCTGGGAGTGGGAGATGCTGGTCTCTTCTGAGAGAAGCCACAGCATGGCATGTATAGACCTTTGCACTCTATTCCCAGGATACTTTTCTCCTGGAGTGGCCATTTTTCTGAGAGAGAAAAAGGCTGAATACCTGCACACTTTCTGGCCTCATACAAACATCCAGTTTCTTCTGAGAGAGTCACTGCTCTCCCAGGAGAAACCATGAGTGTACAGATGTTCAAGTTTTTTTCTCCCAAGATAAATATGGCCACTCCAAGAGAAAAATAATTGGGGGAACAACCCGAGTTTAAATCACTCCCAGAGGAGTTTCACCTGGGAAGGTGATTGTCTGTACATGACATGGCTTCCCTCAGAAGAGAACATAGTCCTCCAGCTTCTCCCCTTCCCTCCTCACCCCCCATATGGAGACAGTGCATCACTCACTGGACTCTGCTGCTCCAGAACATATCCCCTTCACTAATCCCACGTTCTGCTGTAGCGAAACAAAGGTTGATCATGGGCAGTCCAGGTCAGCCAAACAGGGCTGCCTATGCACCGCTGTGATCTGTCACCCAGCAGACTAAGGAAGCCTGCAAAGCGTGCTGAGATGTGTGCACAGGGTCCCCTACTTACTGCACAGTATCAGCACTGCAAGTTTTCCACTCTTCAGGGCTGCAGCATTTGAATTTCTGTACACACAGCTCTGGATAAGTTTCTCTACCCAGACAACAGACCCAGGCGAATTCTCCCAGATTATCTGAATGTGTATACACAGCCTCTTTCTCCTGGGAGTGTTTCAACTCTCTCAAGAGAAACTGAATGTCTGTACAAGATCTAAGACTAGCTGGACATGAGTAAAGAAAATATTTTATAATATAAGGTTTCTACAGTTATTGCACAGGCAGGAATAAAGTTGAACTAATACTGCAAAAAATGATGTTGCTTACATGTGTCAACTGAAACAGATAACATTCATAACAAAATAAAGTGCATCTATTGATCAGATGATGAATTCTAATTAAACCACTTTTTGTATCTAGAAAAAGAAATGTTTAACTATGCCTGGAAATTTTGCAATTATTTTCTAATACATCAGCATTTTCTTTGCCAAGGCAGTAAATAGCTACAGGCCCCAAAACTAGAAAATATAAATTTTCTCCTTAAGTGTCCAGCCTTCTCCATCTTTCTTTATCATGTGGAATACAGTATTTGAGGACACTTGATAATCGTTGTGCCAAACTCGCACAGGAAAGTGATCATAATATATAAAAATACAACTTACTTCTGCAGCTAAAGAAGCAATTAATACCTATTCAAGAAAAACTGTTGCCTTTCAAACAAATCTGAATTTTAAATTAAGTTGGATAGCTCAGGTTATTTCCTTTATAATATGAGCCAGTATCTGACAAAATTTTAGAAGCATTACTGGTAGTCATCAAGGAAGCATCTAAATTTACTATTAACTGTTACAGATTCATAAACTTGAAGGAGGACATGATTTCTCTTTCTCTCAATCCTCCCTCCAGCCAAAAAAAAATTCTTTGAAAGAAGGCATATGTTTAGATAGCTAAATTTAACAATGCCACAGTATTAGATTAACAGTGAAATGGCACTCTGTCACACCCATTTTTCCTATACCCATTAATGCATTTGAAGTCTAGCTGTATTTTCACCTGCCCTTACTACTGACATCATCATTCTCATTTCACTATCACCTTTGCTGTTTTTTTAAATGACATAAAAATCTACCTATATTTTCTCTCCTTCAGATTCATTCAGAACACTCCATCTTCCTTTTACTGCCTTGCCATCTCACATTCAGTGAAGTGTTGAGCAATGAAAATGAAAAAGAAATACGAACAATACTTCTCCAAATTTTGATTAAAGGCCATTTAAAATAAATTTCTTACCTTTATCATTCTAGAGAGATCTCCAGCATCCGCTAATTCCAATACTATGTTCAGTTCATTGTCTTCAATGAATGAGGCATAATATTTAATCACATTTGGATGATTCAGTTGCTAAGAAAAGAAAATAATGAATCAGATATTTCACTCTATAATATTGTCCTTTAACAGTATGCTTTGATATATGATGTCATTGTATTATAAATATGTACTTATGTTAAACATTTTAGATTTGAGCAATTCAAGACGGCAAGAATTTCAGGTCCCAAGAACATCCAATATTTTGGTCCAAGAATTAGATGGTTTGCATAAGAACATGAAAGGGAAATACCACAAACAAATTAATGCACACAATCATTCTCCTGTCCCCTTGCATATATTCTGAGCCCACAATAACCTAAGCTTCTCCATGTCTTCATATGAAGCCTTACATCAGGGATGTCAAACATAAGGCCTGCAGACTTTTCAGCCCAATTTGGGTGCATTGGGGAACCTTCCTTCAGCAGCAGCAAAGCACCTGGATGAGATCTCCAGCACTGCAGCCTGAGCAACACCACAGCTTGTTGCCATTATAGCAACCAAGTGTCCCGGTGAAAGCTGTGGTGCTGGAGCACCAGCAGCATAATGGAATAAAGCCTAGCACTGTGACTTGTTTCAGCAGCAGTAGCCACGTGCCTGCAGGGTCAGGCTTCATTACACAGTGCTGCTTGAGCTCCAGACCTGCAGCTCCCACCCAGGTGCTTGGCTACTACTGCCCTGCTCTGGCACCCCTTCTGGCCATTCAGAGAGAGGCAGGGGGGCAGCTAGGCTCCAATTCACATGCATGTGGAGAAGGAGACATGGCCTGGCCCCAGTTCAGCCGTGGGTAGAAGGGGGCATGGCTTGGCCCCAATCCAGCCATGTGGCAGCACGGGAGGGTGGCAGTATTAATGGCCATTGCTCTCCTGGCACAAAACTTCCCAACCCCTTGGGGAGCCTTGTAGGCCAGATGCCATGGCTCCAAAGGCCACATTTGGCCTGTGGGTTGGAGGTTGAGCATCCTTACCCTACACCTCATTCTCTGTTTTCTACACCAGTGGTCTCCAAAGTGGGGTGTGTGCACCCCAGGGGGTGCGCAAGACAATCCACTGAGGTGCCGGAAGAAAATATTAGAACTTCTATTTATATTTATTTTTTATCTATAAAAATAAGAAAGAAATTAAGCTTTACTAATATTTAATATATGGATTGACACTGGCGCCCTCACTCGGTCTGTATGTCAGATGGTCACGTGTCACATATGGTACACGAGTAGTACATGTATATAATTTATAAATAAATAAATAAATATACAGATATTGGGGGTTCATGCTCAAAATTTTTTTACTGATGGGGTGTGCGATCAAAAAAGTTTGGAGACCACTGCTCTACACTGAACAAAGAAAAGTGTTTTTAGAACAAGCAGCACATGAGCACATAAACAACACATTATAACAAATATGAATGGGACAGGGACAAAGTGGGGAATACCAATTCTGACGTTTTCTAACTTCTATATGCCTTCAATTTTCAAATGTATTTGTGTCTGACTTCAACCAAATATTTCAGAATTCAGAGGCTTGTTTTTTTCCTAAGCTGATTAACAAAGCAAAAAACAAACAAAAAAATAAGAATTTAATTCCATTATGGATTATCACTAAAGTTGGAATCCAAAATCTCCCCTGCCTAGTACAGATGTCTCCCACTTTAGTTAAAAGAGTAACAAAGTAGCAGTAGTAAACTATTCTCTCTGTGAGAGCCACCCCTAGTTTCTACTGGAGACAGTAGTTTCTGGCTGCTGCCATAAGGAATGCTTCAGCATTTTATCCAATTACTGCCTCATGCAATATTCATAAAATGTTTCTGAGATCAAAGGCCTAAGGAGTTATTATAGCTGCTGCTGCTGCATTGCACCTGAACCAGACCTCTCACTGTTCCTGGTACAATTCTCAGTGCAGTTACATTCGGGAACTGAGTGGGGTTCAAGCACAGACTAAATGTTTTGAGATTTCATCAGGTAAGCTCTACTGAGCGTATGCACATTGCTATTTGCAGGGGTTTGAAAGGGATTTGAAACAGAACCATCACCTTTCAAATATCAAGTCTCCCATCAAAAAGCAACCTGACCCTCAAAAAAAGAAGTGTGAGGCAGCAATCGAGATAGACATTTTTAGTCAAAATAGTTATGAGGGGCCAGGCACAAGGTACCAGATCCTGCTCTTGGAAGGTAAGCAAGCTTGGCCTGTCTGTGCAAACCGTTTGGAAAGCATTTGTTTGGCTGTTTGCTTGGGCCACATGCTCCAAGCAGTGATTGCTGCCTGTGTCTAACAAAATCCCTAACAAGGGAGTGGAGCCAGTCCAGGCCCAGGAGAGCATAAGAGGAGACCCCTCTGAGGGACCTGGGGAGCAACTGAATAGGGCAGGGGTGGGCATGCAGCCCATGGGCCGGATGCAGCCCCCCAAGCCATTCTATCTGGCCCACAGGGTCCCTAAAAAATTTAGAAAATCAATACTTATCTGCCCCTAGCTGCCTGTCATGCAACCCTTGATGGCTTGCCAAAACTCTGTAAGAGGCCCTCTGCCCAAAATAACTGCCCACCCCTGGAATAGGGGATAGCAAAGAGGGCAGTTTACAAGCAGTTGGCAAGTCAGTTCGCAGATCAGTTTGCCACACCCTCATCTTTGAAGGGGAGCCTTTAAGGTAAGTTACTTCTTTAATTAAGAGTAACTAATCCAGATATTTAGCAGAAATAGCTAAAACTCTGCAATTAGAGGAATACTTAAGTCTCTTGTTTGATAATCAGCTGTAATTATGGCAAAGTAAAGTTAAACAAAAGGTTAATACATAAGTTCAAAGTTTCTAGTCTAAGGGAACCCATAAATTAAAACCTTCTTAAAAGAGGAAACTGAGTTTTAACACTTTTTAAAAATATGCAGGAAAAAGCCCAGCAATAGGGTGGGAGGCTACTCTGTTTATTCCACTGAGTTCAACATGTATCATTACTTGCCACAGGTTCCATGTGTGTGCACCCAATGCAAGGAACTCCTGGCTCTGAGAAAGCAAATATGCTCTCCCAGGGTTAAGGTGTTGGAACTGGAGCAGCTACGGGAGGCAGAGAGGTTCATAGATGAATTGGGACCTACTGAATTCGAAGCAGCTGCCCTCTGATTTTGTGGTTTAAGTGTGGCACCCGGCACCTTTTTTGTGGTGGAGCATGATGGGCCAGTTTCCCCATGTCTCTGATTAGCTGAGCGGTCCTGGAACTCCCACCCCTCCCTGGAGACTGACAGAAGTCCCACCCCTCCCCAACACTTACTGTCAGTTTTGTGTCTTTTCACAGTCCCCGTGTTTTTTCATAGGGACCAGGCTTTTTAACACAGAGCAACTGAATTCGCTCTTTCCGTGAAAATCATAAATTCAGTAGGTCCCTATAGATGAGGCTTTCCAGGACAATGGAAAAGCAATCTGACCTCTACTGTAGCAGCTCCCAAGCTGCTGAGGAGGATGAAAGCCTCAAGGATGAAGGCCATCAAACTGGGAAGGAGGGAAACTGTCACTTAGATAGGACCCACCTTCCAGTTGAAGTTAGTGTCCTCTTGCACCAAGGATACTCCTCCAAGGGAGAGATACCCACAGGACAAAGCAGCAGGTGGAAGTAGTGTGCAATCTGATTATTAGGCACATAGATGGATTTGTGATGTCCAAGAGGACCACATGGCGACTTGCCTGCTGGATGCAAAGGGAGTAGACCTCACGAGATGTGTATATAGGCTAGTACAGAGGACTGGGGAGAAGCCAGTGGTCATGTTCCAGATGGGTACCACTGACATGGGTAAAGGGTGGCAGAAAGGTCCTGGAACCTAAATGTAGTCTGCTAGGTAGGAGGATGAAGTCCAGGACTTGCATGGTAGCATTCTCTGAAACAGTTCCAGTGCCACATGCAGGATCTGGGACACAGGCAAAGCTCAAGAGTCAACGCATGGCTTAGATGACAGTGCAGAAAGGAAGGGTTTAAGTTTATCAGAAACAGGGAGACCTTTGGAACAGGGGGAGTTATACAGAAAGTGATGGTCTCTACCTATGCCAAAACAGTACCACAAAGCTGGCATGTAACATAAAAAAAGGATGGTAGAGCGGCATTGTTTTTAAACTGAAAACAGGGAAAAAGCTGACAGGTACACAACAGCATACAGTTCATATTGACACATCCTATAGGGGTGAAACTGTAAATATATATCAGAATAAGAAAAAGTGAAGGAAAGCACATGCAAATACCTTTAATGAGTAAAATGCCACAAAGAAGTTGCCAACCAGGTAATAATAAAAAGTACACGTGCTTTTAAACTAATGCTAGAAGCCTCAGATTAAAGACGGGGGAACTTGATCGCTTAGCAGTAAATAATGATACTGACATAATATGCATCTCTGAAACATGGTGGAATGAGGAAAATCAATGGGATACTGTAATGCCAGGATACAAATTATGCAGAAATAACTGGATAGGTGTACTGGTGGAGGAGTGGCACTCTACATCAAAGATTACACCGAACCAAATAGGGTAGATTTTTCAACTGATTAAGAGAAATACCATAGAATCTTTGTGGATAGAAATCCTGGGTTTCAACAGAAAAAAGTACATCTAGAGATATATATATTATTGACCCCCCAGACCAGGATGGCAGCCACAAGCTAGAAATACTAGAGGAAGCTCAGTGAGACTGTGGCAGCAGAAAACACCGTAATAATGAGGGAGTTCCACTATCTAGAAACAGACTGCGTCAATCTAACATCAAGCCAGAATGCATAGAACAAATTTCTTGATGTTAAAAAAGACTGCTTCCTGAAGCAGTTAGTCCTGGAACCTATAAAAAGAAAGCCCACTCTTGACCTAGTCCTAAGGTAGTGCACAGGATTTGGTGCAACAGGTAAGTGTTAGTATGCTGCTCAGCAATAGTGACCACAATGCAATTGGGTTTGACATCCATGTGGGAGGGAAGACAAGAAAATTTATCACAGTTGCCTTTAACTTTAAAAAGGAAGACAATAACAAAATGAGAAGGCTAGTTAGAAAGAAGTTAAAAGGTGTCCCCAAAGA